TTCTACATCACTTACAACTCGAACGAAAACTTAAATCGAGTGAATTGTTCTATCATTCAATAAGGTACAAATAGATAAAAGTAGTCCATTAACCAATCTTATCATAGTATTCATTTAATAATTGAAGATGTTGCAGTATATATATTTCCCTTTGAAATGATGAAATTTCTCTAGTAAAATGGCTATCAATGTCCCCATACCCAAACATCTCAAAGCCCACATAGCCAAATTTGTCCCAAACCTTTGATTCATTTTATTATTTTCTTGAAGTTGACAACTTAACAGAAGTAAATAAGAGAATTGGAAGTAAAGAATGAAATGCTATCATATGTCACAACCCTCTATTAATAACAAAGGAACAAAAGACTTAGTCCCCGTTTTGATTCCCTTTAACACAAAACTTTTTTTTAATTTTCATACTCATTTTTAACTTCATATTTATACAATAAAATATTTTACACATAAACTTAATTTTTTTCCTTCTTCTTAATCACATATTTTTCCAAACGACCACTATTCAAAAATCGAAACTCCATTTTTTTCAATATAAAGATCATGACAAGGAAACCTGCAAAGAGTTGCAAGCTATGTAATCATTTGTTAGCTATCCATTTTGGATTATAGACCATCTCGAAGCAAGGTCACGTCACATGCGACTTTTTGAAAATAAAATTTTGAGGTGTAAAATGAGTTGATCGTATTTTAAACAAATTTGATATGGTATTGGACACTCTAGAGTCACTTCTCAATACTTGTATCAGACCAATGAAAAATTATACGAGTTGAACAAAGTTCGACATACATTAAATATGAATTGTGTATCTGACACAAAGGACAACATGGATTATAAAAAAAAATGTGATTATGTATCTGAATTAATTTTGCCCCTCTATTATAAATCCTCTAGAGATGTAATATTATTTACCTTTACACAAGTGATATTTAATTTATTAGTATAGAGTCGATTATATCAATTAATTGTAAATAAACTCATTCTTCTGTAAGTAGTATCACTGTCCATGGAGTGTAAGTGCATATCCATTCATCAATTATTTATGGAAGTGAATTCTTATATTCAAATTAATATAAAATGGGACCTTCATATTCTTTTCTTGTAAAGAAATCCAAAGAAGTTGACAGTTTTTGCAATTCGACTACATCTTTACTTGGAGGTACTGATGTCCTGACTTAATTTGCTCCACTTTTAAGGTTCGTTTGGTCGTGTTTCTATTTCTACTTATAATTTTTTTTTAAGCCAGTTTCCTCTAAAAGTTCTTATAAATAGACAAAACACTTTCAAAAAATAATTTAAATAAGTTCAAGAATAATTTCTTAATTTCGAAAGTAATTTTTGAATTTTTAAAGGTATTGTCAAATGAACTCTTAATCCTTTCTATATCTTTATAGTAACGTGTGATAAGCATTGCTTCTTGCTTCACTATTAAATAATAGAAAATATTTAGGCCCTGTTTGAGTCCCATTTTTACCTCATTAAAATGAAAAATATGACCGTTATTCATCACATCAAGCCACCATTTTTGAATTTCTATCTCTTGTGTGGGGCCCATAACGGCTCTATTTTTCATTCTCGTTCTACAAATAATGTGGTTCAAACGGGCTCTTATTTTATTATGTCATTAATTTTAGTAACTTTTCTAACAAAAAAAATGGTTATTTACTTTAAAATTTACTTAATCAAAAAATAGTTATTTACCTTAAAATTTACTTATGAGTAAATTATTTAAGCTTAGCCAAGCGTGCACTTTTGGTACCCCAAACTGCGAAAAAGCTGTCAACTCCGAAGGAATTGGCATAGTCCCAGTTGCAAGCAAACTTTAATAAAATCCAGTAAAGTGTCAGCCATGTGCATAAAGTTATGGAACCTTCAAATCCTTCCTTTCTCTATACTCTATGCTTTACAATTGTGATGCTTTACAATTGTACATTCGCTTTTGCAATTTAAAGCCTCCAATTCCAGCTCTAAAGTTCTGCAAATATGGCAGATGTTTTGGTTCAATTCCAGCTAAATATCATTAATTAAGTACTGGTTCCCTTTTTTGCCGATGATCTACACGAGTCTGCAGAGGGAGCATGATCACTATTATGTAGCTGAAGCTTTCTTTTTTCCTCTTTCTATATAATTGTAGTGTTTTCTTGAAAAGGGGCTCAAAGAATTCTGCTAAGGGATTAACTGAGATGAGAATCACAGGGGAACTAGTTAGAAGTGCGTTCTCGAAAAGCCTGTCTGTACGAATGCGTGACAGCCATGTAAGTTAATTGCATTCAAGTTGTTTGATAATTTAACTCATAGAATGCTGATAGTATATTGTACATATGCCTGGATTTGTTTTGATTTGGTTTGAAATTAGTAACTAAAGTTTGAGAGAATTTATTGTAATCAGGCTAGGAGTTATACTGTGGAAAAGAAAAGATGGAGTTCAGTAAGATCATACCTTTGCGGGGATGAGTTTAGTTCAATAGTTGCAGAGGATGATTCATCGAGCTTCACACCTGCAATTGATGAAGGTGAATTTACTTCAGTTTATGCAGAGGCGGATACGGCTTCTATTAAAAGCTCTGAGGCCACTGTCAATCAACCATTGGCAGGAGATTTCAAGGACCAAGCAGCTGCTGAAATCAATGAGGTGAAGAATGGAAATCCAAAGGAAAAGCAAAACTCAACCTACAAACTTTTTCAGCAAGAAGATGCTGCAATGATCATTCAGTCGGCATTTAGAAGATTTCTGGTCAATATACTCACCATATATGCATCAAGTTTATGTGGAGTTTTACGTGTAAATAATCATTATAGTACCGTAATATATGCAAATGTTTGATGATACTTGTACAAGAAAATGAATGTGCGTAGGTACTTGGAAAGACAATTAAACAAGAACTTAGAGAATGCTGATCTCCATTGATAAATGATGTTTCTTTAAGTGAAGTATTTTCTGGATACTCCATTTGAGTTGTTTGAGTGCTTAAAATTTCAGGCTCGACGAGCTAATGAAGGAATGAAGTTGCAAGATTGTAAGGCAGATCCTGTAGGAAGTCCAAGTAGAGAGTCTATGGGCACATCAATTGAAGTTCAAACTGGAAATTCCGACATTTTCTCTTTCCAAGAAGAAAGCATGGCTGTGCACCATCCAGCACGACATAGAAGTAGAGCCCAAGTGCTCAAGCTACAGGTACAACAACTGGAATTTCAAAATGTAAAATCCCCCTACCCTTTTTCTGGGGCTATAACTTAGCTTATCATATGCTAAGATATAATACTGCAGAAGGGACATTCCATTGGACTATAAGATAATTGCAGGAACATTCTAATGTCTAACAGAATTCAGTTTATCTCATATAACAGTATCTCGTGAATCTGATCCAACCAGTGATAGGGAAAATTTAGTGAAAGGACTGCTGTAGTTTTTAAGGAAATCTGGAAATTTGACACTGTTTTTCTTGTGCAAGGCGTGAACTTCCCCTGATAAAGCAGTTGATAACATCTATGACTTTTTTGCTAAGTTCAATCTTATTGTAGTGGACAGTATTAATGAAGTAAAAGAAATTAAAATATTGTCTACTCTAATGTCTATTCTTGGGGAGTACTACACATCGAACATACCTCTACTGTCATTTTTTTTAGCAGCAAAGTTTTTGACAGAAAGTATTAACCTAAACAAATTTATAATTCTACTGTCAACTTGTCCAGGAAGACTGGGATGATAGCACTGTAAGTAGTGTCATATCAAAAATGAGAATTCAAAACAAGCTGGAAGCAGCAACAAGGCGCGAGAGAGCTCTAGCTTATGCTTTTTCACAACAGGTATAGACAAAGCAGTAGAAATTGGATGTATTGGAGAATAGAATGTGCACTGATTTTGTCTTTGCCTAATTTGTATCTAGTTAAGAATATGCTCGAAGAAAAAACAAATCAAATTCAACAGTAATGAAACCGGCGTGGGTTGGAGCTGGCTGGAACGATGGATGGCGACTCGTCTGCCAGAAAACACCATGATGGAAGACCGAATGTACAAGCAAATTGAGGCAGTTAGTGGTCACCAAACAAATAGGATGAGGAAGAGACTGCTTGATATGGCAATGGAAGAGAAGGAGAGTTGTGGATCTAACGATGTCTCTCTGCGCATTGAAGTCGGATCTGTAGCTGCACCCAAGGATATCCCAAGGCCTCCCAAGAACAGGAATAAGACAATAAGAAATATTACCAAACGAGATGCAGCATCTAGCTACCTTTGTCCAAGAGAATCAAAGGTACACCTTTCAGCTAAAGAAAAAATTGTCCAAAGAAACAAGTAAAATTAGATTTTTTTACCAGTTTTAAACCAAAAATGGAAGGACTTTATAGTCCCCATTATATGAGCCAGCACGTTGATAATAACCAGCAATAACAGAGATAATATTGCGTGCAAATACTAAAATAAGAACCTCCATCTTTCTAAAATATTTTCTTTTTCTTTCGTCCATTCACTCGTTTCTCATGGTGTGGTGAATATTGTTACAGGATAGCAAGAAAGTACGTCAACTAGAGGATGGAAAAGATAAGATGAAAATATCAAAGCAGGCATGAAATAAAAGAGAGATGAAAAACACGGATTATACATCTCAAGTACCACCAGAGATTGAATAATTTTCACAATTTGGGACTTCAAATCTGGCCTACTAAGTTTGTTTTAAATAAATTGTGTAAATGTGTAATGTCCTGTGGGAACTTTGAGATCCCCTTGTATATTTCATTTTATGACCTTGGACATCCATGTTGTAGTTAGCAGAAATGATCGTGCATAAATTATAATAAAATAAATCAAGCTTTATTTTTTTAGATGTACAACCAACAATGTTTATTGTAAAGGACAAGGGAATGTTGCACCATTAGTCGACTTATGACCTTGTAGCAACTTGGTCCTTTAAACTATTTATTATTATTATTTTGGGTGGGCAGCATGTTGCCGACATTTTAGTTTTTGTGGGTCATTGGTTTTCAACGGATGTCATTGTCAATTTGGTTGTCAACAATTAAGTGCTTGTTTGGTAGAGATTTTGTTAATTGATTTTTTTGACCGTTAGAGATAAAGTGGGTCCTATCTGTAAGAGAAGAATTCAAAAATGACGTCTAGAATAGTGAAATAACGATCAAAAAATTAATTTTAATTGAGTTTTAAGCTATACCAAACATGCTCTAACTTACTAGGATAAGATGATTAGACATTCAAGGTCCATTTGATTACAAATATGAAATTTGGGTGAAAAAAAAAAGGAATTTCAGAGAATTGAATTGTTTAAAAATTGTTTTAATAGAAATTGTTAATTATTGTGTTTGATTTATATAATTTTTCACTTGAAAAATGTTGAAATAAAAGTATTTTTTGGTATTCGTTTGACTTTGGTTTACATGGAAATCGTAAATTAAAGGGATAAATTTACTGGTATTGGAGATAGATTTTTTTTTCATTACAAAAAAATAAATAAATAAATAAAAATAAAAAATCAAGAAAATCATCTATCTTTTGGCATTTGTTTGACTTTATTTTACATGAAAATTGTTAATTAAAGGAAAATATATTTTTACAATTAGGGATAGAATTTGTTTCCATTGCAAAAAAAAAAAAAAAAAAAAAAAAAAAAAAAAAAAAAAAAATATCTTAAAAGAAAAAAAAAAAAAAAAAAAAAAAAAAAAAAAAAAGGGGAGCCAGCAGCCTAAACAATGAATTCTAATCATATCATCAATTTGGTGGAAAATGGCAAAGGTGGCATGACAGTGAGAAAATTAATTGCCTAGAGAAAAATTATAAAATATGCATTTTTGGTTTAAGGTGGAAATCAATTTCCATTTTTCATGGAAAAAGGGCTTATCAAACAGCTCCTCGAATTTTTTAAAAAATGAAACAGAAAGATCACAAGTTTGACAACCAACTCAAAAGTATTATAAAAGAATTAGTACTTGATTGAGAAAAAAGTTTGACAAGTGTCAACAAATGACCACGGACACAACTACTTATGTAATTAGTTAAGTTATGCTATTTAGCTTCACTGTGATTATAACCCAATTTAGATAACATTAATATAATATTAAATGATAAATAAAATTAAATAATTCATTTAATTTCACCTTTCATTCAACCCATTATTTAGCTTCACCTAGACTGAAATTATAACCTCAATGGGGGCTGTATAGCATTATTCTATTAGCCCCCGTTTGACCCCTATTAAATTAAATTCTATTTTTCTCTTTTCTATTTACAATTACACAATCATCCATAAAATAATATTACACGTAGATAAAAAAAATTTCCTTCTTTTTTCAAGTACTCATTCTTCAAAAAAAATATTATTCTATTCATTTTAATTTGAAAATATGGAAGCCAAACGGAGGCTTAGTTAAGAACACATGCACATGACTTTGTTTCTGTTGGGAATTTTACGACAATTTCCTTTATTTTTATTTACCTGCAGAATTTTTTGTTGTTCAAAAGAATATGAGCAAATAGGAAAAATAAAGAATATAAGGAACAAATTAAACAGACCGTCAAACCTTTTTACTATATGAAAAATTGTTATAATCATATAGAATTTCACTCATCAACCAAAACCCCAAGTATTACGAAAAAAAAAATAACAACTCGTGCTTTATTACATTTACTTTTCTACCCAATATACGAAAAGTCTCAAGATGCTAGGTTCACAATATTTCCTCTCAGATCAACTCTCCGGTCACACCCAAAATAATGAAATTCATCCACTATTAATAGGATCAATAATCAAGTAGAAGAGTTTAATTTAAACTCAAATAAGACTTCTTTAACTCAACAAGAATTCCTTTATATGCAAAACTCCAAAATCGGCTGTAAATTGAAGACCAAATTCTACAAAAATTCTGCTCTCAACTTTAATTAGAAGTCTTCCATAATCCATACAATAACTACCTTTTATTATTCGTAATAGAAGTCCTTCAATTTTTAAGTTTTGAGGCAATTACCCAACAGTTTCTATAATATTTGAATTACTTATTTTTTGACCTTTTTAGATTACGTAATTCGAAAAGGAGCCGCATGCGGCATTATTGTTTTGTATATCTTTCATAGAGGATTTATAATGACAAAACTGGAAGTAATTTATTGTTTCCATAATACTTGAATTACTTACTTTTTGACCTTTTTAAAAAAGTAAATTACTTATTTCAAAACGCAATAATTTAATGCAATAGCAAGCATCTGGAAGAGACCCAAAAGCATAACTGAATCCATTCAAAGGGGTCCAGCCTGTAGTGCATGATACTTTAAGGCTATAAATGATATATAAATGGATAGATTATTAAATTTGAAGGCTCGAGAAAAGAGGCAACGACGACATTGCAGAGTTGGGTGTAGGGTTTAGTTTCTTTTCTTTTTCCATTTTTTTTGGTTCATTTGGAACGTGAATAAAAATTAAGAATTATGTTTTGTTTATATTTTTTTATTTTTTGAAGTTAAAAACTCTAAATTGAAATTTCTTAAAAAAAAAAAAAAAGGCAAGTTGGGTAGGTTAGCCATTATTTTGGAGCCTTAACCCATAACCAACTGACCCGCTCTGATACAACCCAATTCGAATCGATTCAATTTGATCGATTTTTTTGCCCAAGTCAAGATAAATGCACTAAATAACAAAATAAAGACAATCATATCCTGCTTTATACAAAGGTAAATTGGGCACCCACTGCATAGGGATGGCAATCGAGTCGAGCGGCTCGCAAAAAGGGAGCTCGTGGACGGCTCGAAGGCAAGTTGGGTAGGTTAGCCGTTATTTTGGAGCCTTAACCGATAACCAACTGACCCGCCCTGATACAACCCAATTCGAATCAATTCAATTTGATCGATTTTTTTGCCCAAGTCAAGATAAATGCACTAAATAACAAAATAAAGACAATCATATCCTGCTTTATACAAAGGTAAATTGGGCACCCACTGCATAGGGATGGCAATCGAGTCGAGCGGCTCGTTGCTCGACTTGTTAAAAGACGGCTCGTGGACATGCGAGTTGCTTGTGTGCTACGAGTCCACAAGCTAGGCGTAAAAAAGTGGAACAAAAGAGTCAAAAAAGTTTTAAAATAAAGAAAAAATACTTGAGCTCGTGGCTCGGCTCGGGGGTAGATGAGCCGAGCCTAGCCTAGCCTAGCCTTGACACTGAAGAATTTATGTTGCGCATTTGGCTAACAAAGCACTAAAGAATATAAATAAAGATGACTGATTTATACAAAAACTGACTTTTCTGCCTGCTGCAATGATATAAATAATGAATACTGCCTAGAATGTCAGTAGCACTTTTCTGAAAAGTGTTGGAATTTTGGCGACACGTCCAATCATAGTCAACTGATTGTTTAATCAAATACCATTTTTTGGCAGGCTTTATAGTGACTACTAACTAGGGGGCACATAAATAGAAACACTTTTATAGACAAAGCACAAGCACAAGCCAAGCCATATAACATTTTGATAGGATCCATGAGCACGGCTCATCAAAAGCCATTTCAAGCACAAGTCAAGCTAAGCCCACGAGCTCTCATGAACTTCTCACAAGTCGCTCGCGAGCTCGGCTCGTCGAACGAGCCCCCCGCTCAATTCGTGTTCGAGCTCTTCTTGAAACGAGTCCGACCCGTTCATGGCCTCGAGTTTTGACAAGACAAGCTACTTGGTCCTTTTGCCACCTCTACATTTTGGACTAATTTAGTTGTTTTTATTTAATTTTTAATATTATTGTTTATTTTAAATATGATTTAAATTAAAAAAGTAATAAAAACGACGAGTCTATGACAGCCGGCAAAGCTTAGAGATAAGATTAACATCAGTTCAGCACCGACTAGAAAGATATTATATTTTATGAAGTTATATACGTCAAAGATACTAAAAAGTGGATAAATAAGGAGTGGTTTCACATATGGTTTATAGGTTGAGAGCTATTTGTGTAAATTTTCCAAGTAAATGAGTCCTAGAATTAGATATTTTTATTGATAAAAAGTTACTTTTTGAAATAAGTAATTTTCTTATCTAAAAATGTTAAAAAAGTAAGTAATTCAAATATTATAAAAATATTAAAGATGCATTTGATTGCCAATATTTTCAATGAAAAAAGTGTTTTTCCCACCCAAATTCTTACTTTTATACTGTTTGATTAACAATTTTATCCATGACATTCAAACAAATGAAGATATCAACTTCCAATATCTAGATGTCAATAGGCAATCCAGATTCCCAAAAGCATTCTATGCACATGCGTCAAAACGGATCAAATCTTTCATTCTATTTGCCAGTTGTGATATCTACAAACCTTCTCATTTGTGTATTGTCTCGAATTGTGATATGATTGAGTTCACATATGTTGCTTTCTTTTATACCTGTCGTAGAATGCCCTGGTAGTCGTCAGGTTGCTAGTGGGACTTGGCCAAAATATGATTTTCTCCGGTTCCTCAAAGCCCCCAACAATAGATCTTCACTCTTGTTCACACTTCTTCGCGCCATGTAATGGAGCTGCAGAAACCCGCGACTAAAGTGCGGCTCAAGTACATTTGCCGGGATTACCCAAGATGTTTGGAACGTCCGTCGATTTGAAATATTGTTGCCGACCGAACAACGCGGCACTCGGTTTAACCGTGGTTTTCTTGATTTCAATTTGGGGCAAAATGATTTCTTAACCAAAGAAAACAAGATTGAATTTATTTCAGGCTGATTTTTTCTACGGGGCAAAAGAGTGGGATTAATTGGGGAAATGAGATTTTTTTCCATAAAGAAACAAGGGATAAGGGTTCGGTTTGGTTCGCTATGAAGAGCTTCCGTCCGAAAAAAAGATGCCGAGTAGCCTTATTGTTCACATTAAGTTCACATTGATAGGACAAGTCGTCAACTGCCGTGAGTATTTTAAAAAGAGTTGAATTCCAGATTAATGCGTTTCTTACGTC